GGCTTGAGAACTGGGCTGCTGGTTTGCAATTGCCACCGACATGGGAGCTTGTGTCCAAAACTCAAAGTCTGACATGACCAGCTGGGACCCGAACTGGCAGGGCACATGGCCGGCGACTTTGACCGCTCTGACGACTTGCCTTTCTCGGTGCAAGCTCTGATCAATCTCAAGATGCGGCAACAGTCTGATAAAATCCGACAACCTGCTTAAGTATACACTCATGAAGACACTTCACATGATCCCCGGCAAGCCCCTAAACAGGGTCCCGATCCATGCCCGAAACTCCCTGAATGTTTCGGAAACAATGCACTCACGATACCTGCAATCTCGCATCAGCTCCACCTGCCTTGGTAGTGAAGCAGGGTTTAGGGTTTAGGGTTTGGGGTTTAGAGTTTAGGGCAGCCCAGTTCTGCGCAAACTGCCACATGCATAGGACAAACACTTTTTGGTGCCTCCTATCTTGTTGCAACACATACTGCAACAATGGTAATGGAATTTATTAGTCCTGGGCCCACAACAACAGAGTCCGCCCCAATGGAGATGCAAAAAAACAGCGCCTGAAATTGGTAAAACTCCACAAGGCTTCCCCTTGTTGGGGGCTCGAGACAGAGAATAACGGAGCGGATACGGCCATAATGGTTTTTAATTAGTTCTTCAATTCACAGCACCACTTCCCCTTACATCCCCTTACCTAGGAAAGAACCAATGCAGCATGGCTCAGAGTGCGGGACCGGCTGGATTGTGCGCACCTTTTGGGCTTGTGTCAAGCCAGGCTGTAGCCAGGGCCTGTTCTTGGGCAGCATCTCAAGGTGGGTCTCTCGACGGTATAAGTCATGTCTCGGATCATGAAGGAATGACGGAAAAGTGCAGCTATACAAGTTGTCTTTTTGAGCAGACAGAATAAGTGCACGTCGCTAAAGCTCCATGAGCTGTCAGCATCGTCCATCTCATCGGCCCCCGCATTCCAATCATACAGGTCTTTGGATAACGTTCAAGTTTCATGCTGACTTCGGGGCAGCTGCGAATGACAGACAAGAGCAATGAAAGTTCAGGCAAAAACACCTGCCATTCACGGAAGCTCCACAAAGTTCAGGGTTTCTCAAGGGGACGAAGTTCCAAGAAAAACCTTCAGAGTAAGCCTTGTAATCTATTTGTAGCTCGACCCCCTCCTCCTGCACATCTCCCGGCTCCTGAAGAGTACCCCTCTACAGGTGTTTTTCAACATGGTCCCTGTGTAAAGCATAAAATGGACCGAAAGAGTGCCCCCATCATCCCCAGATATCCCTGGGCCCTGGGATTCTCAGCGCCCATTCTGGAGAGTACCTCTGCATTAAACAATTCCCAAAATGCTAAGAGCATGGCCCAACGGCATGCGGGAAAGCCTTGGGAATCATATCACCTCCCATGCGTTTGCTCTCGAAACTGCATTCCTGCTACTCTGGAAATTGCGGCCACTTGTTGATATGGTGGATGGAGGAAGTCTTGAACCGCTTAGTATCCCCAAGATGCTGCAATTATCCGTATCGTGGCCAAATATGGTGGTACAAGACTTCCTCCGTACGGTATCTCCACCTAAATTAGTATCACGTTTAATATGACCCTGGCAGGAGCTTTTCATTCTTCCATCAAAAAGCAATTGATCGATACATGCATATGATTGCTGTAACTGCTTCTTTTGCAGACCAACCAGACCTGGCTTCATCTTTGCGAATTCCTTCCCGACCTGGCATGCACAACCCATGTGCCAATGTGAGAAAACTCGGCATTTTATGCAAATCACGTGAACATGAGGGTTATATTATGTTCTTCAAAAGTACCCATTTGCTGAAGCAACTGCAGCAGCTCTGAACTCAGTGCGACCTGGAAACCCGTGCCTCATCCATGTGCTTTGCATTTGCAAAGCCACTTCCTGCACTTGGAAACATGTGAAATTAACATGATCTCTGAAACTTTGCACATTCGAAACACAAACATTGAACCTTTGGGCCCCGACCATACAGAGCATCGAAACTGGACGCTTCAAAATCCGAAAAGCTGATGCCATTCATCCTCATCAAATTCCAAGGCGGATATGCCAAAAAAGGACAGGACGTGTCATGGCCAGGCAAGCTATGAGCAAACACCGTGTTTTTATCCGGCAGGCCTTCCGCTGATCCGCACTCTCCGAATAAGGTTGCAAATCGAAGCGGACAACACCCCAACTTGGCAGCCCCTCTCTTCAGTTTGTAAAGTGTTTTGGACCCACGTCCATATGTGTCTTGCACACAACTCCAAGCTTGTACCAGTTCCCCTTGGTCTCAAAGAGGGGCAACAACATCGCATGCACAAGCAAAATTCGACATGCTTGATCAAACAGTGCAAACACGGACATGAACGAATTCAGATGGTTACCGCGCTCGTACATGGCATTCGGTCTACGAACTGTGTTTCCACTTTTACCGGACAAAAAGGGAAACAAAAAATGGCCTCGACCTGGCCGAGTTTGACAAAGCACAAATTGAGGATCCTTGAACTGTTGCCCACGCTGCAATTTACAAAGCATAGCGCCGGCTGTGTGACCGGGCGCTTCGCTTGTCAGCCCGGTTTGCCGGTCAGCCATTGACTGGGCAAGCGCGCAACCAGCCTGACGGGAAACGGGGCCGGATTGACCGGGCAACTGTCCTGACCTGAGCGGGAAAGCGGGGCTCACCTGACCGGGGAGCCGGGGCCCGGTCAACCAGGCAACCGGCTGACCGGACAGAAACCGTGTCACGGTTGACCAGATGACCCGGCTGACCTAACTGACTGGGCTGACCCGAAACCAACGATGCAGGTCAACCTGGCCCGTTTTCGCTGTCAGGCCAGCCCGGTTGCCGCATGCCCCGTCAACCACGTCCCGATTTCTTGGTTAGTGCGGTTGCCCGGTCTACGGAGCGCGGCATCACCGAGGATTGACCGGACAACTGGGCTGGCGTGACGCAACATGTAAGTGCATGCGCAAAAGCATGGGCCGCTCACCTTGATCGATCTTGTCAAGGACTAGCTTTTTCAAATGTGAGCAGCACTAGGAACAGGCAAAACAGAATACAGCAATGCTGCGTGTGCTACCCATTTTCATATAACCTGGCCGCTATTCGGACTTGCGTTGAGATTCCTCAGGCTTATACATGAAAACCCAGTTTGATACCTGTGCACATTTAGTTTTTTCTTGTTTTTAATGTCGGGGGTGGAAAAACCAAAAAAAAAACAAGGCAAAATGTCGCATCGTTGCTTCACAAATTTGCCTACTCTGTTTTTTTCACATTTACCAACTTTCTCCAAAAATGTTCGTAAGACTCCTGAAATCAATTGAGAAAATCTGAGGAAACCATCTTTGCATGTTTTGCTTGCTTTGGATGAAACACCACCGCGCCCCAATTGTTTTAATTTTTTGTTATATTTATTAGAATAATTTCAACAATGCAATAATATGAATAAGAACGTGTAAATCCTTACCTGGCTTCAAAAACTTGAAATGCTATTGTATTTGCTGGCGCGCATGCAAGCAGTACATGTTCTGTGTCTGCAGCCCGTTGCCACGCAGGAGGGTTGGGGGTCGTTGAGGTGATTAAGTTAAGTAGGTAAGAACCAAAATGCCTCCAATATTGTAGAATGGTTTGTATAAACAGCCTGCATGCATTGTACAGTTTTTGAATTACAGTCTAAATCTACCTTGTGTTGTGCGCTTGGTGTTGAAAAAGTGTGTTCGCGTACTTGCTTTGCTGCCATGGTTTCATGCAGGTGATGAGCCAAAGGCTGCTACTGCTCTTCTCCGCGCAAGTTCTTCCTCGATGAACAAGCAAGACGAAGGTTTCAGAGCTGGCAGCCAAGCAGTTGGTAATCCAGAATGTCGTAGTATTGGAAACTCTGGCGGAGTAACCGGACTTGGACGTGGTGGTGCGGATGGCTCAGCTTCAGAGCCACCATTTGTGACTGGACGTGGTTGTCTGGAAGGCTCAGTTATGGGGCCACCGTACGACTATGGTGACGGAAGTCTACTGGCCAAGGACAGTCGTCAACATGGTGGTCCAACACGCTACGAAGTGGTTAGCGAGGCAGGTCATTTGCTCCGAAAGCGGCCAGTATGGCGAGACTGGAAGAACAAGTGCTGAAACACTCACAACAAACCTTGAAGGGGACGCCTGGACAGCGATGTCGAGTGCGGGTCGTGAACTGACTGGAAGTGTTCGTACGCAAGTTGTGTACAGTGATACCTCGAGGCTGATACCGTTGCGCAAGCTGCGTGGGAAAATGCTCAGAGGTGGACTGGGAGTGGTGACGCGCAAACTGCTCTTGGACTCAGGTACACTGTCGTGGAAGACGGTCTTCCGTCAGTGAATCAGCTCAGTGGTACAGACAGTTGATGTTGTACCTAGAGGGTTGGTGCCACCAGAACGTCAAGTTGTATATACTGCTGTAGGAAGGGGCTTCCCCGGTTCACATGGTAGCAATAGATTCAATTTACCATAGTTCGAAAGGTAGTTTTAGGCAGGGAATGTGCACACCCTTCTCAATCCAAGAGCCCCGTACCTAAATACTGGAGGTATTGGGGAAGGTATTAGTAAGAAAGATATTTTCAATGTAATCTCTAACCCAACAGACCCGTGCCTCCCGTGTTGACCAGTGGTGGTCATTGTAGCTCTGGAGGAGCTTTGCAGGGTGTAAACACACGTAATTATGCCACTTGTAATGGGTGAAACTTAGGCAGGGCTGGTGTTAGCGGTCCAGCTCAGAACTTGCGTCAAGCCAGTGGTGGACCTATAGTAGGTCAACTTGTAGGTCAGGCGCCGCGCTTCTTAGTGGTGGACGGGTTACAGGGTTTCTTGCCACTTGGTCTATGGCTGGTCTTGAAATAGCAGTCCCTGCAACGTCCACTGATGTGTACCCAGGTAAACAGTCAGACTAGAAACCTCCAGCGTTGGAAGGTCGTCCCGTCAATTTGCCGGAGCCTAAAGGCGTAGAACCAGCCTGGCTCTCGCTTTGTTCCTGGGCAGAAGTTAATCTCCCGGAGGTGAAAGGGAAGTGCCGACTGCTGACGTAGTGCAATTGTCCAAACTTCAGGCACTAGAAAAGGACCTAATTCAGCGAGAGAGGGATACGGAGCTGTTACGAAGGAACTTGGATTTCAAAGGAGTAGAGGCGACGCTATTACGGCTGGCGGCCGCAGTAAACTAGCAGATCCTTTTCCTCCGCCTCCTCCGGGTTATCCGCAATTATCTCAGGTTTGTCCTCCTCCGTATCCTCCAAGCCTTGCTGATGAACACTTAAGTTCGCAGGGTGCCTCAAGGTTCCCGCCACCGCCTCCACCACCTGGGATAAAGCCTTGTGAGGAGAACGTGCAAACAGTGCCTTTTCTTCCAGGCCCTCCACCTCATCCACCACCAGGAAAGTCACTGCGTCATAATTCCACCAATACTGGTTCAAGGACCTTGAAGAAGGCAAATATGGTGGTGGAATAAAATAGGGGCTGAGATTGATGCCCGCGTTCAAGACAGGAACGAACACTCACCCTCTGACAGGCATGTCACTTAACAAGCACGTTCCATAGTAAGTGAAGGCGGCGTTACGCTTGAGATCCCCACAAAGGATGCAGTGGATAGCTTCTCGAGTACTCAAATTTTGGGTGAAAAGAATTGGTCACCAAAGAACGCTTCCATTGGAGGTTTGGAGCAGATTACTAGTGTCGGACATTGGGACAAGACGGTCGGGAAGGATCCTCCTGAAGAACCAGTCAAGGAGAATACTCAGGCGCCAGGTGGCAACGCAGGCATCCGCGCGGTAGCAGATCCTGTAGGAAATAGTGGTACGGTCGGTGCCTTCACAAGGCCAGGAGGCCTCAGCTCCAGTAATTAGGAGCGTTCCTCGAAGTGATTTGCCTGCGATGGATGCTACAACGTCTGCCACTGAGCGGACAATCCTCCCAGTTATCTGCAACGCAATGGCAAATTTTTATACGGGTGTCCCAGGGATGTTGAACAGGATCTGGTCACCGAGCATAGATACCGATCTAATGATCCGACAAAAAGCCGGGCATTACAACCAATATCACGCGGCCTATCACAATATGAGTGCTAGTGCCCCGGCGTATGGGCCTGGCAATTGGTTGCTCCTCTGGACTGCCTTAGTAATAGCCCCCAGCCTCAGTGTGCCTTTCAATGGAAAGCAGGCAGCGGCAGGCGGCTCCTTCGTTGAAGGGGTGTTGGTGGAATGGATGTTAAACCCGAAAGGTTCAGAGAGTTATGAGACCGAGCAGGCCAGGTTGGAAAAGGATCCTAGTAAGGCTAAGTTGTTTCAGCTACCGTCGTCATTCATGACCGCTGAGATTTTCAATGTTTTTGAAGGTTGAAACATTTCCGTGTCCAAACCATAATAGCGTTCGTGCCACATGAGCATGCGGTCACCAGTGCATCCATGCCCAAACCATAATGACGCGCGTGTTCTCATTGCAATCGAGTCACACAGCACCATGCGCAAACCATAATAACATCCATGTTCTAATTGCATTCGATTCACAGAGCATCCATGCCCAAACCATAATAACATCCGTGATCCAAGAGCATACGGTGACTAGAGCGTCCATGCCCAAACCATAATAACATCCATGATCCAAGAGCATACGATGACTAGAGCGTCCATGCCCCAAACCATAATAACGTCCGTGTTCCAAGAGCATACGGTTACGGTGACTAGAGCATCCATGCCCAAACCATAATAATGTCCGTGATCCAAAAGCATACGGTGACTAAAGCATCCACGCCCAAACCATAATGATGTCCGTGTTCTAATTGCATTCGATTCACNNAAACCATAATAACGTCCGTGTTCTCATTGCATTCGGTTCACAGGGCATCCATGCCCAAACCACAGAAACGTCCGTGTTCTAACTGCATTCGATTCACAAAGCATCCATGCCCAAACCTGAATAACGACGTCCGTGTTCTCATTGCATTCGGTTCACAGGGCATCCATGCCCAAACGATAACAACGTCCGTGTTGAAATTGCATTCGATTCACAGAGCATCCATGCCCAA